CGCGTCCTTTGGCCTGCTCGTGGCCATGACGTTCATGACGCTTTTCATGTCGGTCGTCGGCGCCGGCATGCTCAGCCTCCCGTACGCCTTTGCGTCCGCGCCCTTCGGGCTCGTCTTTAGCAGCTTGGTGTACGTCGGCCTCTCGATGGCGTTTAGCGCCGACACGCTGCTGCGTGTCCACATTGCCACGTCGCTCTCGACCTTCAACGCGCTGGCGTTTGCGGCACTCGGTCCATGGTTTTGCCATGTCGTGTCGCTCAGCACGATTCTCGCTGTCTTTGGCGCGTGCGTCGGGTGCCTCGAGATCGTTCACGACCTCGCGCCGTTCCTGCTTGAGCTCGTGGGATTGCCCGCGTCTCAGCACGCGCCGACGATCGTCCTCTGCGTCTTTGTGGCCATCATGTACCCGCTCACGTTGCTCAAGAAGCTCACGGCGCTTCGTTTCTCGAGCTACATTGGCTTTGGTGCGTCGCTCTACCTCGTGGTGGCGATCTGCGTCGCCAAGGCGCAGCGCCCGACCGCTGTGATCGCACCGAAATCTGCCGTGCAACCGGTCGTGCTCACCACCGCGCACCTCATGTCGATGTTCAACTACGCGTTTGTGATGCATTTGAACGTCATTCCGCTCTACGACAACCTGCGGCAAGCGACGCACGAGAGCCGCCACACGCCCGGCGGCAGCTTCATCTACCCGGACGCATCGAAAGTCATGACGCGCATCGTGTTTGCCATGTCGACGGTCTGCATCCTCATGTACACCCTCTTCGGTACGACGAGCTTGCAAGAGGATATGTCCTATCTGATTTTGTTTCTTATTTCGTGGCGTAGGCTACAATGCGCATGCCATGTACGGCGATGCGACCAACGGCAACATCTTGCTCAACCTCGAAGGCGAAGCGCTCATGAACCTCCCACGCGTCGCGGTGTTGGCGACGATCCTCTTTTCGTTTCCACTGATTTACCACCCGCTGCTCATGCTCTGCGAGTCGTTCACGATGCACATCGTGTACCAGCAGCACCCGAACTCGCCGACGGTCCACGCCGCGTCGCGCCCGGCGCGTGCGGTCGCCTCAATTGTATGTGGTCTCGATACATTGATACTTTTTGCTCATATGGCCCGAATTAGGCGCTCATGGGCTTGCTCTTGTTTGTGGCGGCGGTCATGCCCGGCATCCAAGTGACCTTTTCGCTCACCGGTGCGAGCTGCGTGACGCTCATCTGCTACGTATTTCCCGGCGTGTGCTACCTCAAGCTTGTGCCGGACGCGCCGACGTGGCGCAAGGTTCTTGTCGCGGGTATCATGGTCGTCGCGTCCATCGTCGGTGTCATTGCAACCGTCCTCGTCTGCCTTGGGACGGCCTTTTAGCACCTCTTCTATGGCTACTATCTATGTATCAATCCTGAATGGTTTTGAAATGATCTCGTGGGATACTATGCTTGGATGTCGGGTTCTTTTGACTGCAAGGCAAATCGATCGGCCTCGGTTTCTGGAGCGCAGCTATCGACGCAGAGATGGATGCGACCAAGGAAATTACCTTGGATTCGAGTGCCATGGCGCTGTGGTCCACGCAAAAGGTGGCTAGTAGAAAGTATATGGCAAGTCTGTCGATTGGACAAAGATGGTCCATATTAGCAAAGGCGAAGACTTAGTGGCCGACACGCGAGGCGACAAAATTGGACGACGCGTTCTGCATCGTGACCGTGAGCACAAAGACAAGGTACACGATCCACGCGAGGTTGAAGAGCTGGAACCACTTCATGTTCTTCTTCCCAATGCACTTGCCCATCCACGGACAATGGTGGTCTACACAGTTAGTACTCGCATGCAGACTATAGGATTGTATACTACCGTATTTCTCAATGCAAACGCCGCAGTCGTCGCAGTGCTCGGTGCCCCGGAACTGGTGCACGTCACAAATGTCTAGTCGTGATGCAACCACAATGAATCCAAAAAAATGGAAAAGATTTGGCTACCGCAATAGCTGCACGTGGCAATGATGGCCGGGTCCGTCTGCGTGGTTCCCCGGGCCACGATACCCGGGTCCGTGCACGTGGTTTGGAAGAGAAAGTAGCACGTGGCCGTGGCCATGGCCAGCGACGCCAGCGTGTACCACGCATCCAGCGCCGCGCATCTAGAACGCGCCATGACGAGAAGGCGACGATGATATCATGCATACTGCTGCCCAATAAATAGGATGGTCGACACAATGATGAGCCCGGTCGTGACGAGGACGCCGATCCAGTGCGGGCCTACGAGCATGAACGGCCGCGCCTCGCGGACGACGTAGCTTTGCCTACGCTCGCGTCAGCATGGCCACGCCTCGTTCGCATCATGCACCCGATCTTGCGGTAGTTGCACCAGCCTACATGCCTGCTATGAGCCCGAGCAGTAGGCGATGCA